TTTCAGCTTGTCGTATAAATTGAATGGCTGTAGTTTGATATCCCTGGTATGGTTGCGCATGATGTGTATGTTGATAAGGTGCCTACCTGTCTATTACCCACTACATCGTTCATACTGTCTCCAGGAGACAGTTGGTCGTTGCTGGAGGGGACAGGGTGCACGGTTCTTGTGGCCGTGCTAGGCTCAAAGAGCGGTTCCATGCACTCAGTGTGGAGCGGACTACGGTCCAGCCACCGCCTGGTGAGCGGTTGATTCCCCAAATATAGCGTGCTTGTGTTTTCCTGTGAAGGAGTGTGGGCCGGCTCCGTTGATGAAACGTGGTTCCCATCCGCATGCCTCCCGGTCTTATTCCCTCGGGTTTACACTGGATATGGGGTGTGTGGTTGGAGCTGTGGGTGATGCAGCGCAAGCCACCCATGGTCCCTCTGTAGGCGCAGGCGTCCTGTGGCTTGCCACAGTGACAGGCAAATCCGAAACCGGATGCCGCCAGCCATATGACCGACGCAAACATATGTGTCACCATGACGATGACGAAGTTGCGTATGACGAAGTTAAAATAGGAGTCAGTCTCATTGCCTACTTGCGTTAAACCACAGGAGGAGTACATGTCCACATGATGTGTGGAAATGAAGTGTGGAAGCAGTGCTCAGGGAGACCGTTCCATTAAGGGTCGTATTACATTCTCTGAACTAACGGCTATACCTGCTTTTATTCCTACTCTAAACTTCTGCATATTTCAAATACTTTTAAATGATTGAACGCCTCAAACACTTTATTGGGAACATAATAGTTCTTGAAAATCTCTCCACCATCCGAATTGCTTGTACCAATTGATCAGGCTGATAATTTGCCAATGTCTCACATGTGGAGAAATATACCTTTTCGATGTAATTTTTCATCTCATCAGGTGGAGACAGCAGGATTTGAACCCAGGACCATTGGAATAGCAGCCAACACTACTACCCCTTTGGCTACCGGGTCACGATGGGCAATGCATTTTGTCACAACGGTAGATGACTAATTGGAGGGTCAAGTTTGGATTACACGTTGTGTGATTGGATTGCGACACGCAACCTCAATTTAATAGACTGTGATTCACATTGAAATGAACCGTAGTCACTGCGATCGCTGGGACCGTATTCAAAGTAGATGGAAATTGGGTATTGCCCACCCGAAAACACTGCACAACCACGACGCGTTTCGATGTAATTTTTCATCTCATCAGGTGGAGACAGCAGGATTTGAACCCAGGACCATTGGAATAGCAGCCAACACTACTACCCCTTTGGCTACCGGGTCACGATGGGCAATGCATTTTGTCACAACGGTAGATGACTAATTGGAGGGTCAAGTTTGGATTACACGTTGTGTGATTGGATTGCGACACGCAACCTCAATTTAATAGACTGTGATTCACATTGAAATGAACCGTAGTCACTGCGATCGCTGGGACCGTATTCAAAGTAGATGGAAATTGGGTATTGCCCACCCGAAAACACTGCACAACCACGACGCGTTTCGATGTAATTTTTCATCTCATCAGGTGGAGACAGCAGGATTTGAACCCAGGACCATTGGAATAGCAGCCAACACTACTACCCCTTTGGCTACCGGGTCACGATGGGCAATGCATTTTGTCACAACGGTAGATGACTAATTGGAGGGTCAAGTTTGGATTACACGTTGTGTGATTGGATTGCGACACGCAACCTCAATTTAATAGACTGTGATTCACATTGAAATGAACCGTAGTCACTGCGATCGCTGGGACCGTATTCAAAGTAGATGGAAATTGGGTATTGCCCACCCGAAAATACTGCACAACCACGACGCGTTTCGATGTAATTTTTCATCTCATCAGGTGGAGACAGCAGGATTTGAACCCAGGACCATTGGAATAGCAGCCAACACTACTACCCCTTTGGCTACCGGGTCACGATGGGCAATGCATTTTGTCACAACGGTAGATGACTAATTGGAGGGTCAAGTTTGGATTACACGTTGTGTGATTGGATTGCGACACGCAACCTCAATTTAATAGACTGTGATTCACATTGAAATGAACCGTAGTCACTGCGATCGCTGGGACCGTATTCAAAGTAGATGGAAATTGGGTATTGCCCACCCGAAAACACTGCACAACCACGACGCGTTTCGATGTAATTTTTCATCTCATCAGGTGGAGACAGCAGGATTTGAACCCAGGACCATTGGAATAGCAGCCAACACTACTACCCCTTTGGCTACCGGGTCACGATGGGCAATGCATTTTGTCACAACGGTAGATGACTAATTGGAGGGTCAAGTTTGGATTACACGTTGTGTGATTGGATTGCGACACGCAACCTCAATTTAATAGACTGTGATTCACATTGAAATGAACCGTAGTCACTGCGATCGCTGGGACCGTATTCAAAGTAGATGGAAATTGGGTATTGCCCACCCGAAAACACTGCACAACCACGACGCGTTTCGATGTAATTTTTCATCTCATCAGGTGGAGACAGCAGGATTTGAACCCAGGACCATTGGAATAGCAGCCAACACTACTACCCCTTTGGCTACCGGGTCACGATGGGCAATGCATTTTGTCACAACGGTAGATGACTAATTGGAGGGTCAAGTTTGGATTACACGTTGTGTGATTGGATTGCGACACGCAACCTCAATTTAATAGACTGTGATTCACATTGAAATGAACCGTAGTCACTGCGATCGCTGGGACCGTATTCAAAGTAGATGGAAATTGGGTATTGCCCACCCGAAAATACTGCACAACCACGACGCGTTTCGATGTAATTTTTCATCTCATCAGGTGGAGACAGCAGGATTTGAACCCGGGACCATTGGAATAGCAGCCAACACTACTACCCCTTTGGCTACCGGGTCACGATGGGCAATGCATTTTGTCACAACGGTAGATGACTAATTGGAGGGTGGGCAATACCCAATTTCCATCTACTTTGAATACGGTCCCAGCGATCGCAGTGACTACGGTTCATTTCAATGTGAATCACAGTCTATTAAATTGAGGTTGCGTGTCGCAATCCAATCACACAACGTGTAATCCAAACTTGACCCTCCAATTAGTCATCTACCGTTGTGACAAAATGCATTGCCCATCGTGACCCGGTAGCCAAAGGGGTAGTAGTGTTGGCTGCTATTCCAATGGTCCTGGGTTCAAATCCTGCTGTCTCCACCTGATGAGATGAAAAATTACATCGAAACGCGTCGTGGTTGTGCAGTATTTTCGGGTGGGCAATACCCAATTTCCATCTACTTTGAATACGGTCCCAGCGATCGCAGTGACTACGGTTCATTTCAATGTGAATCACAGTCTATTAAATTGAGGTTGCGTGTCGCAATCCAATCACACAACGTGTAATCCAAACTTGACCCTCCAATTAGTCATCTACCGTTGTGACAAAATGCATTGCCCATCGTGACCCGGTAGCCAAAGGGGTAGTAGTGTTGGCTGCTATTCCAATGGTCCTGGGTTCAAATCCTGCTGTCTCCACCTGATGAGATGAAAAATTACATCGAAACGCGTCGTGGTTGTGCAGTATTTTCGGGTGGGCAATACCCAATTTCCATCTACTTTGAATACGGTCCCAGCGATCGCAGTGACTACGGTTCATTTCAATGTGAATCACAGTCTATTAAATTGAGGTTGCGTGTCGCAATCCAATCACACAACGTGTAATCCAAACTTGACCCTCCAATTAGTCATCTACCGTTGTGACAAAATGCATTGCCCATCGTGACCCGGTAGCCAAAGGGGTAGTAGTGTTGGCTGCTATTCCAATGGTCCTGGGTTCAAATCCTGCTGTCTCCACCTGATGAGATGAAAAATTACATCGAAACGCGTCGTGGTTGTGCAGTATTTTCGGGTGGGCAATACCCAATTTCCATCTACTTTGAATACGGTCCCAGCGATCGCAGTGACTACGGTTCATTTCAATGTGAATCACAGTCTATTAAATTGAGGTTGCGTGTCGCAATCCAATCACACAACGTGTAATCCAAACTTGACCCTCCAATTAGTCATCTACCGTTGTGACAAAATGCATTGCCCATCGTGACCCGGTAGCCAAAGGGGTAGTAGTGTTGGCTGCTATTCCAATGGTCCTGGGTTCAAATCCTGCTGTCTCCACCTGATGAGATGAAAAATTACATCGAAACGCGTCGTGGTTGTGCAGTATTTTCGGGTGGGCAATACCCAATTTCCATCTACTTTGAATACGGTCCCAGCGATCGCAGTGACTACGGTTCATTTCAATGTGAATCACAGTCTATTAAATTGAGGTTGCGTGTCGCAATCCAATCACACAACGTGTAATCCAAACTTGACCCTCCAAATATACCTTTTGTTTAGTTAATCATCGTCAGTGAGCAAGACAGACGAAGGCATAACCAGGGAAAACAAAGATAAAGTACTCACATTAAATGTAAAGCATGAGTGAAGTAGATGTTAGATGATTATAGTAAAACATAAATGGATTCCAACCTAGTCCTTCCATATGTAGTACTTGGGTGATTAAGTACCGGTGACGTAGTAGAAAGCGCCTCTGATGAGATCGAGAACATAGGAGAAAGTGGAAGAAACTGAATAGACCATGCATATAAAGTCAAGAGGTCTAAAGGGTTCATTTTTTATGCAGTGGACAGTTATAAATTCAGTTACATTCCAGACGATAGCATACACCTCACTGGGTACATGGGGTAATCGGTTATCTACAGGCTAAAAAGTGGAAAGTTAAACTCACTAACAGTGCCATAGACCACATAATAGTATTCGAGAACTGGGGTATGATTTTAACAAGTCACGGGTGAAAAGTAAGTACTTGAAGATTAAAGATGCTGACAAATTCCTCATTCAGTATACAAGAGTGACCAAAAGAAGTTTAAAGCTTAGGCTCCGAATGCAAATATAAGGGCTAGGGGCATAAGAAGTCTTAAAATCTCGCGAAAATACATGTATCACAACGACCATAACTAACCTCATGGTTGAGATTTTTTCTTCCGATGCATAACATGAAAGGTCGCCGAGCTGAAAATACCTCCCCAGTTTTGCCTGCAAATGTTGTAGCAATCCTCTAGACTCTTCAATGTCCGCCTGCGACACATCAAACACAAAAATGGACGTAAACACAGTGTCTTCGTGGACAACATCGGCTTTTTGAACGACATTCGCTGACTGAGTAGAAATAGCCTATAGGACAAAAAGTGAAAGTAAATCTACCTTAAAACGTCTGTTTCTAAGCTCTTGTTCAGTGTAATCATATCGTTTTTTGGCACTGGCGTTTGCAAGTTCAACGGTTCCCTTTGTTGATGCGATCACGAAATTAAAATTACAGAGGTCTGGTTCGATAATTACAAATCCCAGTCCTGAAACTTTTATTTCTCCAACACTGGAACTGTCTGCATTGGTCATTATAACATTTTTATTTGACGTTCAGTAATCAGAGTAGGAGCACAATTCCGAAGGGCTAAAATGGAGGGAAATTGAAACAAACCGTGAGCATGCAATAGACTAAAACACCCAACAGGTAGATTCGGTCAGGATCGATTTCAATGAGGAGGAAAACAACATGCCAGATTCTAAGGTTAGTAATGTAAATAAGGATGACACGTAAGAAGCCTGGTAATCTCGGGTAACAAAGGGGCAAAAGACGAACGGATAGCTTTGAAGATTAAAGGCAGGTAACTAAGCGAATGGAGTAGCGTGGCGTACAACCCACCGAGCAGAAGATAGTAATGAAGAGTAGTGTCCAGTAAAACAATTTGATGACTGCTGGGCGAGAAAATGAAAAAAGTTCGTCGATCCAGTATGTTGCATGAATATACGTTTCATACTTCATGAAGTTACTTCTCTCTAGAAAGCCGATTGTGAAAGGCAATTATTTGGCTTGACAGTCAGGGAAAACAAGAGTAAGGATGAGTTAACAAGGGTAGCAGACATGGGTGAACACGAGAGTCAGAAATGGACCGCTTCGCAAAGGTCAATGGGTCCGGTTTTGTTTGTCATTTAATATTAGTTGGGTACGTACTGGAGTACAGGTCAGGTCAGTACCACGGACGATAGAGGATCTCGCCTAATGAGTGTTCTGTTTCTTGTGCTGCTAAGTGAACAACAACCCCCAACACTTCGATATTGAATTGACATTTCTTGCTTCTGCAAAAGAACGAAACAAGAACAAGGACAATCTTTGCACTTCCATGTGTCTGTATCAGAATACACTACATCATCGGTGGACCACCGGAATGAAACCATTGAGCTGCGAAAACACAGTTAGTCCGGAAAATGATGGACACCGCATTTTCTTCGTTGCTGTCAAGATGGTGCACTTGAGGAGTGTCACTAACTCCAACGCAACCCAGCCCACTATCAATGAAACATTTGATCGACGAAGAATTCAGGATGTACACATCAGTGTTGTGTAGCTAAGCATGTGCGTACCAAGATAGTTACTGACAATAATGATCAAAGAGTAGGTGGATGTTATGTGGATTTAAGTCAATGGACTATTAGATTTGCAACAAATGACTCAAGGAATGCCGTTGCTTTTTTGCTGTTAAGGGTCCCGGAAGTATATATCAGGTGGAGTTGGGATTGATCAAGACAAGCGGCTTAATACCATATGGTGAGCAGAGCACAAAAGAAATCAAAAAGTGGTATGCCTTTCACAGTTCCGAATGGTTTCGCAGTTTTTGCCGGTTTCCGAAATTAAACTGCTAGAACATATAAATAAGAAAAATTAAATTGTCTCACACTATGAATGAGTGGAAAGCAACTGAAACATCTGAAAGGCCTACTCCCTGTCTCGTCCTTCGATTGTCTGCAACTGAGACGCAGTAGATGAAGGGTTAAGGAAAAAGACTACTTTTGAATGTCTAGTGATAGGGAAACATCGTACGTAACGATGCATGTGCGGACACACCAAGAAGTCATCATTATCATCATCATCATTACACGTTAGCTGGAGGTGGAAAACACCTCAGCTATTGTGCCGCAATATAAAAGAAAAGAAAATGAAAACAAACAGTGGCACGCCCACTGAGTCTTTAGTCACGGATGGACATCGTTCCGGAGAGCTAACAGCTGGCTGCCGTAAAAGAAACTCGTATTATGCCTATCAAGTGAGATCGTGATTGGAGGGGGATGCTAAACAGGAGGGGGAAGGACAAAGGAAATCCCAACACAAACGCCATTGATGCCGGCTCCAAGCCATATCAGCAAGTGTGTCCAACCAAACGTGTTCACCCTCCTTAGGAACCCAGCCAGGCAGTCGGGATGCACCAACCGACGCCAACTTCGAAGTGAGGGTTTTCATTTCGCTCTACCAAGTCATCACTTGGCCTCTCCTCCTCCTCTTCCAACCGCACCCACAAGGCGCAAACAATGCACGTCGCGGGAGTCGGTGTGCTGGCATGCGCAACACGTGGCCCAGCCATCGGAGCCTGGTGCGTGATATAATGGTGCTGAGCGGTTCACTCGCTCTTCCTGCACCAAATGCACGACGCCGAACACGCTCATTGCTCACGCGGTACTCCCACCAGACATGAGCTAAGCTGCGAAGGCAGCGATGATCGAATATGACGAGTTTCGATTGGGTCATCGAAGAAGGCAACCATGAGATTTTGACGGACGCTGTTGCTTGATGATATTTCTGAGCTAAAGTGGAGTCTACAAAGTCCATCCGCAGCTATAAAAGCTTCATCATGAGGACAGTGAGAGCAGCAACGCACCGAGCTAGTGCGAACGAGGAGGTTGTTGTAGTTAGCGTGTACGCTGTGCAGCGTCACATCACTGATCTGCTCACCCGCAAGACCCGGGTGTGGCGAGCAAATATATTGTGCAAGGAGGGAAGTAAGGTCAAATGACGGTGTGCATGAGGATTACAGAGATGAAACAAATGTTCCCAGCAGCTTCAGTGCCGTGCTGTAAATCAACTCTAGTTACGAGCTTTAGGTTCATCATGACGATTCTGAGAATTGCTAGCAGCATGGCTATGTTTACTCCAGTTAAATTGACAGAAATATGGAGGCTTGTTAGGCTCGAATACCGGTTCCTTCGCCGTTTAGCTCATATCTGGAAAGTATTTAGTGCTTCTGTAGAGATGGCGCCGCCGTGCGAAGGTGTTGTGAGAGTGAACGAACCTAGACATGGTAGAACATTTCGAACACAGGACAGGCAGACTCATTTAAGCAGTTCAGTAGTGGTGCTATTTGGTTCTACGCTCCGCTATGTGATCTCGACCCAGCATTCCGTGACGGTGTGGGATAAGCCAAAAACGCCAGCGTCATCCGTTTCCAGGGGTGATTGAATTGTGCACTACACGTCGGTCGTCCGCGGTGGTCTGTTATTCGCTGAATCCATCGGGCCTGCTCGTTTCACCTCTACTACTCATTAGTAGGGCACCACATTTCTCCCCTCTAAATTTTCCGCTGCCGTCGACCTCACGCGATCTCACCGACCTCCGGGGCTGCACCATATAAGCCGTAATTTTCTCTCCGCGCTCCTACCATTTTCTCAATTTGCTAGCGTAAAATCGCCGCCTATTCCCCCATAGAGCGATGGCGTATACTGAGCCTCGTCGATCGATTACGTCATATGGTCGCTTCCATTTCAGTAGGATTTTCTTCTCACATGGACCATATGCTGTCGCGCGTTGGCGATCTCGGTACTTTAACTTCGAACCGATTGGATAGTCTCCGGAAGGTTTCCTCATATTGCCCCAGGATTTCTACATCATCCGCTGCTAGGCTGCCTTCAGATTTCAATTCGCTCGCTTCCTGTTGTTTGGTGCTTCCCTCGGCGTTAACTGGCACGTCTGCCACATTCCCGTGTTTACATCCACAGGGATTTGGGTCCCGTGGCCGTAGATTAACTAGAGATGGCCTAGTGCATACTTGCTTGGACGCCTGGTAAGCTAGCAAGAGTAGTGGTAACACTTTCCCCAACTCCCCGTTTTAGCGCCAGCCATTCGCTACTCGTTCTATTATCCCTCTCCGTCAATCCTTCTGTATGGGGATGGTAGGGAGTGGTTCGTCCCTTCTTGATTCCAAGTTTCTCTAGACATGTCCGATACTCGTTACTTTCAAAACAGGGACCCTGTCCGTCAGTATGGTCGCTTTCGGAATTCCGTGCCCCGCTTTCACGTACGACGTGCGTTGTCTGTGTGGCCGGGGTCTGGATGGAAGAGGTGGCGTAAACAAGCGACGACCTGGTCAAGAGGACTGAAACATCTCACTTCGAAGTTGGTGTATCCCGACTTCCAGGCTGGCGTTAGAAGGACGATAAACGCGTTAGGTTGGATACACTAGTTGACACGGCAAGGAGCCGACCTCAGTGGCGTTTGTGTCGTGAGTTTCTTTGTCTCTCCCCATTTGGCTTATCTACCCAAACCAATCTCGATCTCCCACTTGACGCATAATATATTACTATGTGGTCTGTCGCCTGTTTTTCAGCATGCTGTAATTTTCCGCCTCTCGGTTTTCGTTTTTCTTATCTATACGTATTGCGGCACAATAGTTGGAGTGTGTTTCTCACCTTCAGCTTGTGTAATGATGACAATCAGCTGTTACATTACCGCATGTGTTATTGTGCTAGCCCGTTGATCCAGAATAGCCGCTACTTCAATCCAGCGGGTGAAACGTTCCGTCATCACGATTATGCATTGATTGCCCCGTCTCGTTTACGGAACGGTCCATCACGTCGGTTAACCACAGCTCACTAATATAGGACACTGGAATCGTGAGCACATATTGTGGTGATTTTGGATTGTCTCCCCTCAAGAGCTGACAGTGGTGACACGACAGAACTTATGTATCGATATCACTTTTTCATACCTGGTCAGTAAGCGCGCTGTCTAAGAAAATCATATGTTCCGGTGCACCATGTGTGGGTCACGTAGTGACAAAGACCCTCAAGTTTTTCCGCAACTTCAGTGGGATCACCGGCACGTGGTATCGCCTCGTCCTTGAACCCACATCAGAAGTACGGCTACGTTGATTTGCAGCTTTTCCAGATTCCGCTCGAACGACCCTAATTGTTGACTCTGACTTTTGGCCGTGATAGTTTGATTCATTATTCATGCTGTTATCAGTCTGTACAGGAGTCTATCCTTTTGTTGCTCAGCTGCCAACTTCCCCGGATCCTGCTCTAGCACCAAACTACGAACAACGAAGGCAACGTTCGGCAAAGCGTCCTCACCCTTCAGGCGCGATAAAAATCTGCCTTTCTAACTCCCTGATTTGTAGCTTAGCGTGAAGTCGTATTCTTGTAAGCGCAGCACCCGCCTAGCCAACTTGCCTCTGGGGTCTTTGGAGAACCTAATCCATTCCAAAGGTTTGTGAACTTTTCAACGTAAAAGCTTTGACTTATTAAGTACGCCCGCCACTTATCCAGCGCCCAAAGAGTTGTCAGACACTCCTTCTCTACTGATGAACAGTTCGTATCCAAGAGTCCCCAGCTTTTGCTTCAATAC